GTTAATAACAGCCACATTCAGAACCACAACAAGCAAGGATACTCACCAGATTTATGATGTTTATGCACCTTCTAATGATGCTAGCGAGGAGGTAAAAGATCAGTTTTATGAAAGACTCAAAAACGTGCTTGGCAAGAACCGACCACAAAGAGAACAAACCATCTCAATGAGAGACATGATTACCAAGATTGAAAGCTGTAATACTGCTTATAAAGGAGTGATTTACGCACATGGTTTCGGTGAAATGAACAATAATGGAAAGAGATTTGCAGATATATGTGCAGAGCACAAGCTTGTAATAGGTGGAGCAGTTTTCCACACAAAAGATTGCATAAAGCCGCTTGGGTCTTGAATAACCATACAACTGGAAACAAGGTTGACCACCTGTGCATATCAAGAAAGTTAAGAAGGACATTATTAGATGTCAGAGAGCAGATGTTAGCTCAGACCTCTTAGTTGCTTACTTGCGGCTCAAACAGTTAAAAAGATCAGTCAAGAACCCTTAGCAAATAGAATGAACTATGACATCAACCTTAAGTCATGCCTATATAGCTGAGCAATTTTCCTTGACAATCAGGAATAAATACCAAGTCTTCCAAGATATGACTCGGACCCTGCAGGCCCAATATGCGAGAGTTGGGAAAAACTAAAGACGCTGTGGACGAACACAAGTGAAGATGTACTGGGTCGAAAGAAGCAACAAAACAAAGCATGGATATCGAATCATACAATCTCTAAGATCAGTCAGAAGCGATCAGAGAAGAAGAACCTGAACAAAGCACGCTCAAGATGGCAAAAAGAAACAACTCACGCCGAGTACACAAGAGCAAAACAGATGTCAAGAGAAGATGTGACATCCTTCAAGTACTTAGGTAGTTTCATAAAGATCACTGATGGAACGGACTAGGACGCTCTGTCAAGAATTGGGAAAGTGCGTAGCGCATTTAATATCTTAGGGAGGAACTGGAGATCCGGACGGATAACAAAAGCAACAAAAATGAGATTATTCAATTCTAATCCAAAGACTATTTTGCCCTATCACTCTGAAGCATGGAGAATGACTGAGAAGATAGTGTTAAAACTACAGACGTTTCTAAATAGAAGTCTGCACAGAATCCTCTGTATTTTCTGGACTTCTACTATCAGTAACGTTAACCTGTGGGAGATCACAGGGCAAACAGCTGCTGTGAAACAACAGATCATGAAGAGGAAATGGTCGTGGACAGGCTCTACACTTAGCGGATCTAGTGAGTGCAGTGCCCCACAAGTCCTCTGAGGGAACCCAAAGGATAAGAGAGGGAGAGGTAGACCGCGTAACAGCTGTAGAAGGGAATACAGAACGCACTTTCCTGTTGAAGTTATGGCGGCTTCTCCTTGACGCAGATGGAGTGCTTGGCCAGAGACAGAGGGNTTAGCAAATAGAATGAATAATGACATCAACCCTAAGTCATGCCTATATAGCTGAGCAATTTTCCATCACAATCAGGAATAAATACCAAGTCTTCCAAGATATGAAGGACCCTGCAGGCCAAATATGCGAGAGTTGGGGAAAACTAAAGACGTTGTGGATGAACACAAGTGAAGGAGTACTGGGTCGAAAGAAGCAACAAAACAAAGCATGGATATCGAATCATACAATCTCTAAGATCAGTCAGAAGCGATCAGAGAAGAAGAACCTGACCAAAGCACGCACAAGATGGCAAAAAGAAACAACTCACGCCGAGTACACAAAAACAAAACAGATGTCAAGAGAAGATGCGACATCCTTCAAGTACTTAGGTAGTGCCATAAAGATCACTGGTGGAACGGACTAGGACGTTCTGTCAAGAATTGGGAAAGTGCGTAGCGCATTAAATATCTTAGGGGGAACTGGAGATCCGGACAGATAACAACAGCAACAAAAATGAGATTATTTAATTCTAATCCAAAGACTATTTTGCTCTATCACTCTGAAGCATGGAGAATGACTGAGAAGATAGTGTTAAAACTGTCTGCACAGAATCCTCTGTATTTTCTGGACTTCTACTGTCAGTAACTTTAACCTGTGAGAGATCACAGGGCAAAGAGCTGCTGTGAAACAACAGATCATGAAGAGGAAATGGTCGTGGATAGGCCATACAATTAGCGGACCTAGTGAGTGCAGTGCCGTACAAGTCCTCTGAGGGAACCCAAAGGGTAAGAGAGGGAGAGGTAGACCGCGTAACAGCTGTAGAAGGGAATACAGAACGCACTTTCCTGTTGAAGTTATGGCGGCTTCTCCTTGACGCAGATGGAGTGCTTGGCCAGAGACAGAGGGGATTAGAGAAGTTTGTCAGTGGGCTATGCTCCGAAATGGAGCAGACAAGCTTCAGATCAGATCAGATATCACCATTGAAACCTATCAGGAAATGTCAAAACTTAAGAAGTTACGGCACGATCGTAAAATCGTAAAATGTCGAAATCAAAATCGTAAAATGTCGAAATCGAAAGCGTAAAATGTCGGAAAATTCCAACACGAAGTCAAGACGACAGCTAGACGCTTGTGTAAATGAGGCGCGGAAAAAAATCATAGTTTCATAAAAAATAGATTATCGCTATTTTCTTCCACTCGTTTGGTATTCATGGCACATCATTATTACCACCAGTTTCGTTAAACCTCAATTCAAATATGACTTACTGTTGTGGAGTTTGTCCTCTGAGTCGTTGCTTGGAAGTATCTCTTCTGCGTCAACAGCAGATAAGCTAAAACAAAACAGAACGCGTTTAAGAAAAGACTTATTCACTTCTACTCGTTAACATTGGTGCATAATTGTTAATATTGTAAATCTAACAACATGAATGACTTACTGAAAAAGAGATTTCTTTGTTAACCCGAATTTCGTTCTTCCTCGTCAGGAGAAGTCTGCACGCTGTACAAAATAAGAAGTGTTTACTTAGAAAAGAACTGTTCTCTCTGATGCATTTCACTTTGGCGTAAATGGATATTGCTAACATTGAAAAACTCAAGACAAACACAACTTACTGCAATGGAGTTTTTTCCGCTGACTTGAAAGTCACTCTTCTTGGCACCAAGAAAGTTCTGAGATGAGCTAAACAGAATGAAAAGCTTATCAGGAGGGAGTGACTGAATTCCACTACTAAGGTAATGGTGTACATTACTATTGATAATATTGTAAAATCTGATAAAAAAGAAAACATAATTTACTACGATGGAGTATTTCCATTGACTGACTTGAAAGTCGCTTTTCTCGGCGACAACAAAGCTCTACAATAAGCGAAACAAAATACATAGAGCATTTCAGAAAAGAGTTATTCACTACTGGTGTGCATTTAAAATCTGAAGAAAAACATGAGTTACTGCAACGGAGTTTTTCGTTGACTTGAACTGAGTCCCTTGTCTGGGACAAGAATGGTCTATCTGTGATAAACTGAACAAAATACCAAACATTTAAGAAAAGAACTGTTCCCCTCTCTCAGTTCAGCATTATTGTACACAAATACTGTTAACATTGTAAAATCTGATGAATAAATTGACTTACTGCAACGGAGCTTTATCACTGACTTGAAAGTCCTTCGTCTACGACAAGAAATTGATCTGTGAAAAGCTATACAAAACAAACAACGTTACAGAAAAGCTATTTGCTTCGATTCGTTCAGCATTGGTAAATATTAACATTGCAAACATTGAAAATCTGATGAGAAATATTACTTACTGCGATGAAGTTTACCTTCGTGGACTTGGTTTTTTGATGTCTCTCTTCTGAAAACTGATCGATGCTCAGCCTTTACGACCAAGTGGAATTTAGAAGTTTGTCAGCTTTTGATCTCAATTTATAGGTTGACCAATTCAGATTTCCGTTTATAGCATTTGTCGGTTTTTGCAGATTTATCTTTTTGTCACAAAATGTGGATTTTGGATTTCAGTTTTGTGATTTCAGTTTTGGACTCCAAATTTGGTGTTCCGGTGTTTTTACATTTTGGTTTCGGTATTTCAGTTTTGGATTTCAGTTTTTGCATATTTTCAATCAATTACGCATGTGAACTTATCTAGACCTAGTCTCGCTCGGTCAAAGTGTAGGATTCGAAGATAACTCACTCTATTTCTAATTTTGCTCAAGAATTTTGCTGTAAACAGAAACAGTGACAGAAACAGTACATTTGTATCGCAAACAGTACATTTGTGTCGCAAAAGTTTGGAGTCTACTTCAACGAAAATAATATCGAACGCAAAAGGTCAACTCCATTGTGTCCACAAGCCAACGGAGAGAGATAGAAATGTAGAATTGGAGCTGATTGAAAGCCATGCTGAATAACTTACTGAAAGACGTCGTTGTAGAGAAATGAACCGCACACATTTGTTACAGAAGGACAAGGATATGAATCCTGCTAAGTTGTTATTTGGAAGAAAGATTCTTTCAAAGGCCCAACACGTGAATATGGGTGCAGCCTGTAATCACACTGAGATTCTGAAATGGGATCGTGAAAGAAAGCAAATGGGCAAAAATATATGCCTACAGTCTGAGAACTGCTTAGAATCAAACATTAGAGACGAAGACGGGGTT